ATTTGTGTACATCAGTTAGCTTCCTTCTTCTCCCATAGTGAGAGATATACCTTTGTAACTTCTTATTCATTCCCTAAAATGAGGGATAGGCCTATATGTCTAATTAATCCCCCATAGTGAAAGATAGACTTATGTAGCTTGTGTGTCAGCTCCCATAATGAGGGTTTAGATGATTGAGATGATCTGAATATACATGTTTTATATTTCTATTGCTATATCTATATTTCTTGAGAATTAATCACTGTCTCACTTGATATCTCATGAGTACATGTTAGTGTGTATGATGTGTTGGAAAGTTAGTTATTGAGGCTTTTGTATCAACCCCATGTTTTCTACTATTTTCAAGTGATAGTTTAGGTAGTGGTCCATCAGGGAAGGCCCCGGAGGCTTAGTATGCTGTTATAGCTTGTATAGCCTCCCTTCTTTTTGTTTTATGTGTTGATTTATTATATATTGCCACGTAGGGCTTATCTACTTTGATGTGTAAACTGAGACTTTTGATTACTGCTATTTGATGAGAGGACCGTTAGGAGGCTAGAGGCCTACAAGACTTTGCATGTAACACTATTTTGAAAGTCTTGACTTTTGATGATTGAACTTCATGACTTATTTTAAAATGATTTATCAGTTCATATATTTGAAAGTATGGGTTTTGTTTGGACCAAGAGTTGAATGGTATTTCTGAACTTTGGAAGTCCAAAGCACAAATTAATTATTGATGTTGCTTGTGACATAAGTATATTTCTTTTAACCATGATAGTGATTTTATAATTTTTAAGATTTTTTCTTTGTTGTTATGGTTAATCTTTTAAATAAATTATTTCATTTAATCTAAATGAGTTTTTGGAAAAACGGTTGTCACACCCCCAACCTGAATCCCAAGAAATTTATATCCTGCCTTTGATTTTTTTTTTCCCCAGTAGATGCAAATAACATATTGTCTTTTTATGTATAAATTTTTTTTCAGAACATGACAAAGTGGAAGATATTTTTGTTATCAGAAAAGAAAATTCGATATTCTTTGATTCAAAACATAGAGAATGTCGACAAGGCGTAACTTTGCCTTGGAAGCTTATGAAATTACAGGGCAACTGTGGCGACAGTACAAAGTCATCCAAGTCTTTTTTGACTTTCTGTGGTTAACGAAGAACAATAAATATTGAGATTAGTCAATTAAATTGACAAAAATAAGTCCAACCCAGCTCCCACCGATTAATGAGGAAGACTACTTTTCACGATTTTGCTCTTGCAACTCGGCTCCACTGAAGGAATTTGTGGGGAGAGGTTGAACGTGGAGGAGTGGAGAAGGATTCAAGGTGTTGTTTTGACCTGTATTAGCTGTGGTACTAGATATAAATATAAGAGATATCTGGAAATTTATGATACGCTACTAGAAAAATATCTTGGGATGCTAAACTCACTAAAACTTGTTTGATTTAGGATATAAAAAATTACTAATAAAATACTTCAAGATACTTAATACACTAAAATTAGTCATACGGGTTTGTTTGAAAGAAAAGTTTTGGGATGTTTGATTGATCACATGTTTGTTTGACGTAACGTGAGTGTTTGGAACTGCGTGTGGGATACTTCTACGACGACTTATGGACTATCAAATTGGCCAATAGTTTTCAACTTTTCATTGCTGAAAAGACGGCTTTAGCTTTATTGATGCTCAATACAATTCATTCTTCCTTTTTTTTTTTGGTTATACATATAAGAGGGTCCTTCCCTCCCACATATAGCCAGTGTATAAAGTTTTTGTAATTTATAAATTTTTTGAAACGCCTATCTTTTCCTTCCGAGCACCTGACAATAAATTAGACTATACAAGCTGCATTTCTCACATAAATTTTGTGCTTATCCTTCTGAATAGAGTAGGACCGTGGGAGGGCTCTTCCTTTTTTCTTTTTTGGTTTTTAAATTTTATATATATATATATATATATACCCACTCCCACCGGCACCAAACGTCACGGTCCTTGGCATTGACCGAATTTTCAAAGCTTTGAATTGGTACAGTGGCGTTGAAAGCTTGAATAGATTGTGGAGGTGGTGGGCAAAATGATGATTCCAAATTTTACTAAACGCCTAACCCATCTTATGTGGTTCTAGAATGCGGCCGAATTTTCTTTAACTTCTTTTTCTTTGCACTTGTATTTGAAAGTTGACGAAAAGTTGAGAAGCGTATTGAGAAATTTTAAAATGTGGAATTATTTTCATGCACTATGAAGAAGCATGTGAACTGGATTCTTTAGTGCTTTTAACATGATGAGAAATTTTTGTTAGACTACCAAACTAAGCTAGCTCATAGATTCCTGTACTGTTTGGAAAACTTGGTCCCCACATTATTATTTCCTTTCTTTTGTTCTTTTTTTTTTTGACCAGCATTATCATTTCCCTTCATTGAATTCAAAAGCAGCTGGCCCAATGTCATTCTCCACATTGGAATATACGCATGTATGCATTTAATGTTGCCAACTTTGCTTCAATTTTTTTTCCATTTTTAAAGAGAGAAATTATACGAGCTGTAAGTTTGGTGTTTTCTAGAGGCTGTGAGAGATCAAATTTAGAATGTCATTTCCAGTGACTTGTATTTACTTCTAAATTCAGAGTCATACCTGAGCGAGGAGTCTTCTAGCGTTACAAGTTTTGCCTGATAAGGAGAGTTGACCCCTAAGCGATCGAAGAAAGAGAAATAGACTTCCTCTTGCATAAAATTAAAAAGCTTAATTAAGATCTCTTCAGCCAGTTCAGCTAACTTGTATTGACTTTATCTGGTGTAACAAAAAAAAAAAATTCAGCTGCGAAATGCCCCTTTTGTCAACTAGCTTTTATATTAAGAACTTGAAGTAGTATGTTTGTAGGAGTGAGGGGCAATCAAATCATGTTGTTGGGATTTTTTTTTTCCATAAAATTTTTTGGAGACTTAGTTTTAGTTTAAATATAATATAATTTCAAAATGCATATAGCATATATTATAATTTTTATAAAATAGTTGTAATGTTTAATTTTTAGTGCAACCAGCATCCTAAAATATTTTTTAGTAGCACTCAATGCCCTAAGATAATGTTTAGTCAATCCAACATGTTATAGGATTTTTTGGTAAGAACTTGGTATCATAAGTTTAAAGTGATATTGGGAAAAATACTTTTCTTATGATAAAGATGTTAAGAATTTATTATAAACTATAAGTTCTACTAAAAATGCAAAAGTATGTTTTTATCTTGAATTTTATTTGCTCTTTTGATTTTATAAAATGTAAAAACGTTAATTTTATCAAAAAATACAACATTTTGAATTTTTATAATTTCTTATTGACTTATAAATTATAAAAATTCAAAATATGGGATCTCACTGTAATTTTTCCTACATTATATCTAATTTGCCAATCAAAACTCAATATTCGAATTTTTTTATAATTTATTATTGACTTATAAATATGTGTTGAGATTTTGGTGGAATAATTAATTATAAAATATGTATATATAAACAAATTAACCTAAGTGTTATCTCCCAAGACGACATCGACGAAAAAGTGTACTCATATAATGATATAAATGAGGATTGGAACTGGAACTGGAGCTGGAACTGGAAGTACCAGGCACGGAGTGACTGGGTGCTTTAACGTAGATGCTGATGTTGTGTCTTTTCACGCGTCATTAACGTTAGAATAAGAATATACTTTCCATTTAGAGTGGAAAGGTTAAATTTGATTTTAAATATAATTTCTTAATTTATTTTATCTTCTATTATTTAAAAAAAGTATCCTTATTGATTGTAACGACTTTTAACAAGAGATGATTATAGTTATTTAATGCATATTATTAAAGATGATAGCTTAGAGAAATCAATACATATTCATGACAAATAACTAATTTAATTAATTTTCTTAATATTCCTCTTGTCTTAAATATAAGACCTATTTTATAGTGTAAATTGTATTACCAAATAGGTCTTATATTTAGAATTAGAGGAGTACCCCCAAATTGATGATTTAGCTTTTATATTAAAAACCATATGTGTTAATTTATTGGTTTGATTCTTTGGAGAAAGAATATTCTACAATTTTGATGCTTTAAAATATGAACATTAATAGCCTGTATATTGCATTTTATTTAAACATTTTTTAGTCCAGTAATTTTAACAGTATTAATTGTATTAGAAAAAATATCTATATTAAAATTTTACTTATTAACATATTGAGTTTAATTTTTTGAAAAAACAATGACTAATATAAAAAATTATTATCTGAGACTATAACAGTAATGGAAAATTGAAAGGAAACTCATAAAATTCAAGAGTCCAACTAAAATTTTTTATAAAATTAAAAGATTAAAAGCAAACTTTACTAAAAGAACAGCAACTATTTTGCCAATTAAAAAAAAAACAGCGACTATTTTGCCGACCAAAAAAAAAACAAGAACAAAAAAAACAGCAGCAACTAATCAACAATATGATCTTTCTTAGGACGGAATTTGTCCGTCATTAATTTCCTAAATAAAAGGGAAAACCAATCCCTGGGTCCTCATGCTTTCATGGAGTTTTTAATTAGGACCTCATGATTTTATTTTTATCAATCAACTCCCTGTTTTTTCCTCCATTAGACCCGTTGCTCCTTGAAGAATTTATTAAAAACAAGACAAAGGACCAACGGAGTTAGCTAACGGTGTTGAAGGCGTACGTGAATGCTGAGAAGATTTGGAATTTCTTGACTCTGATATGAACAGAAAGAAGAGAGCAAATGGCCATCGGTTCGTGGGAGAGTTATACTCCAATAAGTGAGAGATCTGAGTGGAAATTAGAAATTTTATTGGTCAGGGTAGAAATTACGAACACAGGGATTTCACCAAAAAAGAAAACAACAACAACAAACAAATACAAGTGACTCTGATTAACATATTCTATATGTATATTTGTAAACAACGCATTAATAAAAAGGACAAGGGGGAATACAAATGTTCAGGACACTGCAAAGACAAGAAGACCCAAAAGAAAGACGTCCCTGCAAGGACATCCCATAAAATTGGAACGATATAGAAAAGATTACCATGGCTCCTAGGTAAAGATGACAAGCACAAATTGAGAAAACCCAAAAGAAAGACCACAACAAAGTAAAACAATACAACGAACGACAGATCAAAAAGTCACAGGAAAGTACATTAAGGAGTTAGTCAATGCCTTCTGTTCCCTCTTGAATCCGTCTTTGGCTCCAGTGAAACATATCAACAACAGGTAACATTTTATTTATTTCTCAACTTCTTCCTCTCAAATTGCCGGCGCGGCAGTGTGTCATAGTTGTGATCTATAGGTTCTCCCATACCATGGCCCCCTCCTGAACCGGAATAGCCAAATCCTACATTAATAAAAAATGTTAAATTGCAGTACACCAAAAAAATATGAAATAACTGCACGTTTAAAGAAGAAATCATTTATCACAAGTATGAAGATCGGAAGCGCCAGGCTGAGAACTAGCGAGAGAAGAAAGAAGCAACACGAAAAGAAAGAGAAGCAGCCAGAGAACAGAGTTCCCCTTAGAAGCCATAACTAGTGTTGATGGGAATATCTCTACACGCATGACCTGTGAATTTATAACACTGAGCAAGGGGGGACTTGTGACTTGTCATTCAATTATTTTTCCTTTCTTTAATGTCAAAACTGGAATGGTCTAGACGGTTCAGACCGAAAATTAGTGAATATGCCTATTTGTCCATTTGTCAGGTCTGATTCATTTCCTGAACCGAAAAAAATTTTAAGCTGATGCATGGTTTGAATCGGTCTCACCCAGACCTGGACATAACCTGGTTTACGCGGTTGTTTTGGGGGAAAAAATCAGAAGAAGAAGAAATTAATAAATATGGACTAAAGAAGAAGTAACACAGAAATTTTTTTTTAAAAAAAAAACAAAACAAAAGGATGACTGTCTTCCTTTTGCCCTACGAGTTGATTGACCTTGATATTCACTTCCCTCTAACTCTGGAGTGCGTCTGAAATGAAGATAAGGAGGGGTGGACTGCGGAGGTATGTGAAAATGAAAGATGGAAATTAAAAAGGAAATCTGAAACGAAGAAGAGAGAGAAAAGGAAATAGGGAATCTGAATCAAAGATTTAAATTACACAAATGACTTATCACTAGTATGCCCCGAATCTAAAATTTCACAATGTTGTTAATTTACCTGTATGCCCTTTTTTATTTTGCTGCTTCGCTCTCCCTATTTGAAATTTGCCTCTTAGATAATACAGCAATAGCAATGACATTTTTAATTCAAAAGAGGGGTGTAAGTGAGTTAGAAGACACCTATATCTACTGATACTCTAGATTATCAACTCAATTTTAAGTGCACTTAATTGGGTCATTACATGCTCTGTGATTTGAGGAGGGAATTAGCTGCCCTAGGTTGTTATACAATTGTGGTTTTCAATCAATTAATTTGGTGTTCTTGAAGCAATAGATTTAGTGCTTTGATTAATTTAAGCTGCTATTTGATCACTCTCATTTTTATTTGATCAACGCGATTCTTCGTGAGAACTTAATTTATTATATACTATTTACTATTTTTGGGTCCGTACACGTGTGCCGCACATTAGCGTCTGTTTGGCGCAAGGTACTGAGTAAAATTTTTAATAAACTTGATTTAAAAAAATTAAAGAAGTGTGGTTAAAACTTTTAATTAATTTTTCTTACTTTCTTTTTATCTCACATATTCACTTTATCAAAATTTTACAGCTCCACTTTTCTGGTTTTTAAAATCAGGTTCATTAAAAAAAAATTTCCCTCCAATCCCCTCATACTAAATATAGGGTAAGATTTCGGGAGGAGCAAGAGGTATGACGTCCAGGTGAATTTTTTCTGAGTTATCATTTTATGCGCGATTGACTTGTTGACATTTTTTATGTTTAAGCCACAACTCTTGCATTTTAATCTTTTAAGTTGTGACGGAAAGTGCCACATTGGAAGGTGATCGTTATTTTTCAACCAACCTTTGATGTTTTTTCTTTTTGGGCAATAGACGCAAATAATAGATTTTCTTTTTATGTATTAAATTTTTTTTTCCAAAACGTGACAAATTAAAGTGGAAGATTTTTTGTTATTAGGAAAAAAATTGATGATGCTTTGATTCAAAATATAGAGAATGTCGAAGAGGTGTAACTTTCGCTTGGAAGCTTACGAAATTATAGGGCAGCTATGGTGACAGTACAAAGTCATCCAAGTCTTTTTTTACTTTTTGTGGTTAACGAAGAAGAATAAATATTGAGATTAGTCAATTAAATTCTTACAAATGAGTCCAACCCAAGGTCCCACCGATTAATGAGGAAGACTACTTTTCACGATTTTGCTCTTGCAACTTGCCTCCATTGAAGGAGTTTGTGGGGAGAGGTTGAAGGTGGAGGAGTGGGAAAGGATTCAAGGTGTTATTTTGACATGTACTACCTGTGGTCCTAAATATAAATATAAGAGATAGTTAGAAATCTATGATACGCTACTAGGAAAATACCTTGGGATGCTAAATTCACTAAAACTTATTTGATTTAGGATATAAAATATTGCTAATAAAATACTCCAGGGTACTTAATGCACTAAAATTAATTAATTTATGATGATGGGTGTTATTGAAAAATACTTCTAGGAGCTTGATTCACCAAAAAATAATTGATTTTGGATACAGAGTGTTACTAAAAAAATACTTCAAGATACCAAATGTACTTAAAATTAATTAATTTAGGATATGGGATGCTACCAAAAAAAAAACCTTCTGGATGCTTGATTCACTAAAAAAAATGATTAACTTAGGATATTAAGTGTTACTAAGAAAATAGTTAGAATATTGAATGCACTATAAATTAATTAATTTAGAATATTGGGTGCTACTAAAAAAATACTTCAGAATGATGCATTTACTAAAAAAATAACTAATCTAGGATACTAAGTGTTACTAGAAGAATACTTTAGGATACTGAATATCCTAAAATTTGCTTAATTTAAGATGCTTAGTTGAATGCTACTGAAAGTGCTAGATACAGGTTAACTTAAATAAATAAATAAAATAAAAAAGAGGTGGAGATGGGATCTCATCCCCGAAACAATATTGTTTGAGGGATGAGCATGCTGTGCTTAGATATTTGCTGAACAATTGAACATGACATGCGGACTCAACCCAATATCTAGAGTCCAATATCAAGAAGTTTCTTTCTTAGTAACACCTAGTATTTTAAACTAATTTTTAGTGTATTTAATGTCTTAAAATATTTTTCTAGTATCACCCTATATCTTAAAAAGAAATTTTTTGGTGAAATTTTACTCTTAAAGTATTTTTCTTAATAGCAATGAGCACCGTAAGCATAGGATACTAAATGCTACTTGAAAAGTAGTTTAGTATGTTATATGTGCCAATATTTTTTCAGAACACCAGGCGCTACTAGAAAAATATTTTAGAATACTATTTCCTATTTTTTGGGTCCGTGTCACACCTCTCTTTATAATCCATTATATGTCAATTAGAACTAATATAAGTCATTTTGTAACGTTTCTGGATGAAAAATTTTGAATTTCAGGATTTCACTGTCCATCTTGTCCGTACACTATTCATCTGAAAATGGGTCAACTTTGAAAATTCATAACTAAATCTAGAAAAATCAAAACGAAGTGGTTCCAATTTTCACACGAAGCTTGCTAAGAGTTCTATAGAGGAAAAATAATCATTAGTCCAATTCGATCCAGAATAATTTCAGGAAATTCATCAAAGTGTACTGTTTATTTGGTAAATTTTCAAATTTCCAGTATTTTTGCCCAACTTTGGAAGGGCATAACTCTTAGCACATAACTCCAAATTTAACGAGTTACTACTTGTTTTAAAGCTAAAAATGATATCTACTTGAATGTAAAATTTCACATCTAGATTCCTACAATTGCTCATTATTTTATGTGCCGTAAGTTTGGTACTTTTTAGGAAATTTCTATCCCCTAATTGCCACTTTCTTTGATTTATTTCCCCTTTTCTTTTTTCCACATCCATTTCATAATGTACCATGCATAATTCCAACATTAGGGCATGAGAATAAAGTATAATACACATAACATCATACATAACTAGATACAACCATTACATAAAGTTCAATATACCTTACATAACATAACATGACAACATTAATTACAAATTGCTCTGCTATCCCAATACCAATTCCTTGCCTTATCCATGCTTGGTCTACTTCCTTATTAGTGCATAAAATGACATAGGAGGAATGAGATTTCAAAGAAATCTCAGTAGCATATGAATTATAATTATCATGTAAATCATTGCAAGTTAAATTGTGATATGTCATGCAATCCAAACCATTCCCAACTTATAGGAATTCATGCCAAATATCATGCAAGGAGAGGAACATTATATCATTCACATTGACATACCACAAAGCATTTGGCCAAAGCATAACCAATGTCAATCAAACAATCAATGTCACCCCAAAGTTCCTCCAATCCAAGCAACAACAAATCACAACAAACAAGCAAGATAAACAATCAAATTATAATTCAAAGCTACCTTTGCAAAGCTTGTCCAATTAATTTCTCTAAGGAGCAATGCTTCTCTTTAGTTCCTCCTCTCAATGCCAATTAAACCAACATAAACACAGGCCATATTAATCACAAGACAACTTAGTTCCAACACTTTAATATTACTTAACAATTTTCCCCTTTTGTCTTTGATTTTTAACAAATTGATTCCTCCTTTAGAATCAACCATCTCATGACTCATTCCTACACAATTTTTCATGATGAATCCAATGGTGCAATGAGATTTTTAAAATTCAAACTCCTTCCCCATGAACACCTCTTGGCCGAATAGGGGGCTATATGCTTCCAAAAATTATATTTTTGATTCCAATGATTTTAAACACTTTCAAACATTATATCTCTACACAAAAACATGTTTTAAAGTGATTGGAATCATCAAATCAAGCAAAATCCAATTGCTTCTGCATGAGCAGTGCTGAACAAAATTCCTTCCCTTAAAACCTAACTTTGTTTTCATCCAAAAATCAATCCATACACCATTTAATCTTCCTTATTCTACTTGATTATTAAGGTTTCTATCCTTTCCTAGGCAT